GCCCGGAGCGCGCGTCGGGCACTGCCAGCCCCTGGCCGCTGGGAGGCCGGGTGGGGCCCCGGGCGGTCGGGGAAGCCCAGGCACTTCCGCATCTGCCCTCTTGTCCTGCGCCCTCCGGAGACCTGGGGTGGGGCCTCGCGGAGGCCCACCTGGCGCGGCCACTCTGACCTGGACTCCTGCTTGCCCCGCCTCCTCCGAGCCCGCCCCACCACCTGCTGGGCCCCACCTGGAGCCTGGCCCAGGGCTCTCTGCGCTGGCCCAGGACAGAGCTGCAGGCCCTGCCCAGACAGAGCATGTGCCCAGCAGGGTCCTCCCGGCGCTGGCTTACCTCTAGCCTGAGGCTTGCCCTATTCTCCATGCCCGGACTAGTGGTCATCTGGAGCTGACCTGCACCCTCCTGGCCAGCTCCTCTGCTGATGCTGGGCCTTAGGGACTGGCAGCTGGCTAGGGCTGTGGAGTAGGGCCAGGCCCTGGGCCCATAGGTGCAGTGGACAGAGGGCGCATGACCCCACCTCTTGACCAGGAGGTGTGTCACGTCCCCGGAGGATGCTCTTCTCTGCCTTGGGGTGCCTGGCCCAGGCCCCAGTGATGACTCCATAGGGAAAGCTCCAGAAGTCACGTTTCTTGGGGCTGGAGTCCCCTCAAGCCTTGAAAATGGGTGCCCACTCCCACCTGCCTCCCTGCACATCCCAGTGCGCCTCTTACCTTGGCCCCTGTGCCAGCAGCAGTGCTGGTGCCCGGAGCAGACCCCTGTGCAGGACAGAAGGCCCCGGGCGGGCGGCGGGTTTGACTCAGGGCAGGAGTGGAGGCCAGTCACCCAGGCAGGCCCCAGGACCTCAGGAGGCCACGGAGTGGGCCGTCTGGGGCAGCCCCGGCCACAGAGGGTGTTTTCCGGCCGCTGCTGCCCTGGGCCGGGCAGTCACTTGCTGTGCCTGCCGCTGGCCCCAGGCCGGGGCCTGAGGCACCAGGTGGCCCAGGTGAGCCAGGGTTGGGCCCCAAGGCGCTCTGTACCCCCGGGGCCGGGAGCGACCTTCTCTGCTCCCTCTCCCACACGTGACACCGAGACGTTGGCCAACCCGGGGCGGGTCAGCCACCGGCTCCCCTGACCCCAGGGAGGCGTGGTGCCAGCTCCCGAGTCTTGCTGCTGCTTAGAAGTCCCCCCGAGTAGCACTAAGGGGCTAACAGTCTCCCACTGTTCATCACCGGGTGGTGGCCAGCAGCCCAGACCGCGGTGGCGGTGCTGTACCCTCTGTGTGCGTGCGTGCGGGGTCCCTGAGCCGAGGCTGCACCTGGCCGGCCAGTGTGGGGGCCCCTCCCCGCCGCTCACTGCGCTGCCCCGGCATTCTCAGAGCCGCCCGCCGGGCCTCTGCCTCGGGCCTGTGGCCAGGCATCGCTCCCCGCCCAGCCTGCACACGTCCGTCTGGGGGGAGCACCCTGCTGTCCCAAATGTCCAGGGTGGAAACCGTGCAGGCTGCCCGAGATGGCCGAGGGGGTGGTCGAGGGGACGCGGCGGAGAAGTTTGCTGGGACTGGGGTGGTGAGGCTGACCGGCCCAGAGGCGGGCGGGGGCCCCTGGCCCTGCCAACAGGTGTGGAGGGCGCGGGGGCTCGTGGGCAGCCCAGCCGCGGGGGGCCAGCCCGGGCAGCGGTGTCATCGGTCGGCCCCCTTGCGGCCTGAGGTGGGGAGGGAGAGGCCTGCGGAAAGGCTGCGGCCGGGCGCCCCGCTGGGGGTGGCTGCCTTGGGGTGCCTGGCCGGGGCGGCTGGGTCTGCTGGCGGTGCTCCCGCTGCCCTGCCGCTGCTGTCCCTCGGCAGCGGGCCCTGGAACCGCACCGGCAGGACTGCGGAGCTGGGCCCTGGCCCCGAGGGTGCCCACCCCGGGAGGAAGGCCTGCCGTGCCTCCTGCCAGCTGAGGGCACTGGCTGCCCGGCGGGTCTGACTGCATTCCTGCAGTGGGGGGCAGCAGGTAGTTCCCTGGAGGAGGCCTCCTGCCACTGACTGTCCGGAGCCGCCCCGGGGTCAGGCCTGTGTCCACACAGGTCGGCGGGCCCAGGGCAGAGTCTGACCCAGGATCACGAGCCGGGCCTGCCGGGGGTCTCCGGGTGACTGCAGCCTCCGTGCCTGGGGGAGGGCAGGGAATCCTCCGACCTCCCCGGTGCCCGGGGGCACTGCCTGGCCCCCAGGTGCTGCTGGCCGGCCTGTGTCCTGGGCAGGGGCAGGGCGGAGCCCTGCCCGGAGCTGGCTCACGCGTGCTCCCCGCAGCCATCCGCGTGAGCTGCACGGGCGCCTGCAGGGTCTCCGGCAAGGCCAACGACTCGACGTGGGCGGCGGAGGAGAGCTACGCCAACAGCTCGCTCTCGCTGGCTGACAAGGGTGAGCGGGCGCCGACCAGGCCCGCGGGCGGGACCCTCCCAGGCTGGGGTCCCCCGCGGGCAGCCGGGCCCCCGGTGGCGGGGGCTCTGCTCCCATCCTACGCTGCAGCCCAGGGCGGCTGTGGTGCGCGGTCCGGGTGGGGTGGGCAGGGCCTGGCCGGTGCTGGCGTGCACCTGCCCGACCCCTGTCCCCGCAGGGAGCCTGCCGGCCGGAGAGCACAGCTTCCCCTTCCAGTTCCTGCTTCCTGGTGAGAGTCCGGCCGGGCAGGGGCAGCGGGCAGCGGGCAGGGGGCGGGGGCACGGTCGATGCCAGTGCCTGCTCTCTCTGCAGCCACGGTGCCCACGTCCTTCGAGGGCCCGTTCGGGAGGATCGTGTACCAGCTGCGGGCCGCCATCGACACCCCGCGCTTCTGCAAGGACCGCCAGTGCAGCCTGGCGTTTTACGTCCTGAGCCCCCTGAACCTGAACTGC